TTATCATCAGACCCACTGGTTGAAACCGATGGTGAGACTACAGGTACTGTTCTGTGTGCCTGCAATGGAATGTCAAGTTCCTTGTTGTCGTTCTGAGAGCAGCCATCTTTTCTAGCCTTTTGAAACTCGATGCTTTCATCTGTGTGAGGAAATGAAATGCATGCATCATTATGAGAGAAAAATGAGAAGTACAGGTAAGCTTTCTTGATAAAGTGACTCCGGTAACCCCTCCCTGTACTTCATGTCATTCTGTATAAAAATATTAGTTATATATCAGCGCCAAGCTTGGCTGGGGAACACAACTGTGCATTCTTTCTTACCGGGAATGCCTTTATCAGGGTGACATGTTGGTTCAAGGTTATCATGAGGACTAATAAGACTCTCCTCAAGAATCTCCTGCAGACTGCTCACCTTCACAAGGTTAATCCCATTAGATGTTGTACTTTTATGGCAATCTGTAATAAAAAGACCACAGTTAGATTAGAACTCAAATCACTTAATAAATCAAATGTCATTTCAAAATCGTGAAGTTCAGACCTATTTATCCATGTCGAATCTACAAGCTTATTAAACAGTCACTGGTTATGAATCTATACATAATCATCCCACCTCAGAGTTATGCATTTCTTTGGTTTTATGAACTGCAGAAATAGACAGCTGTTTGTGCTCTTCCTGGAGTTGATTATATGCCTCTTTTACTGCTATCAGCTCTTCTTGACCGGACTCCGTTGATATTTTTGCAATTGCAGAATCTATTTGAAAACACCAATATTCACTTTTTTTTTAAAACACCATTTTAATTAAAATAATTAAATGTTATGTATAATTAAAATTTCACAAATAAACTGATAATTATCTGTTTTCTAAGATAGATCACAATTCCAGATCCTTTTTTTTCTTTATTTATTTTTGTGATGCTTTCCAGAAATTGTCATCACCACTTTTGCCCAAGCAAGTTTAGAATTTTGGTATTCATCTCTCAAGCGAGCAAAGCTGTCGTCTTTTTCTTTAGTTCTCTCTTGGTTCAATTCATGTTCTGTTTTAAGGACCTGCAATGAAATTAATCACCCAGAAAATTTTTAATGCAATAATACATTTTTATGTGTTTATTTAACCTGGACAGAGGATTCTAAACAGACGGAGAGGCCAATACAAATCAGTTGGCTTTTGTCATGTTAATATTGGTTTTAATCAGTGAATGACTAAGTGAATTAAATAGAGGAATGGGGGGAATAAAAGAGAAGGAGGCTGTAAACGGACATTAAACATACTTACTATTATTGAGTTGCACTTCGTGTGTTGTAAATGTGCAAAAGTGATTTTCAGTTCACTCAATCAATTGTATTAGTATTAGGAGACCATTGTTTACTTCTGAATATGTATACCTTACTAAGATTATTATTTTAAGAAAATTAAATTACAACAAATATTTGGAAACAACTGACAGATTTAGTTTTTTCCCCCAGAAAATATTTTATTTTGTGTATAAATGTGTTTACCTACTGGACAGGGTTAACTGTATTTTATTTATTTAATTAGTTAATTTTATTTATTATTTATTTTATTATTTAATTAATAAGTTAATGGTAACTGAGGTCTGTTTGTGGCTCTAGCCTGTTCTTTTTAGATGTGCACACAGCACATAGTACAAATTACAAAATGCAATAATAAAATAAAAAAATGTCAAAGCAAAAATAGTAAAACACACACTTCATTTCATCTAAGTGTTAAGTCTGATGTTACCTCTGTTAAATGATTCTAACGCACAAAAAAGTTCCAGAGTTTTCAGAGGGGTTTACCTGCTTCTCTGTCCTCTCTGTGGCGTTTTCATTTCTCAGTTTTTTGTTAAGCTCTGCTTCCTAAAAACATAAAGTGTAACATTTATAGACATCCTGGTATCACCCTTTATGTTGAACCCTTTAAATTTAAAGAGATTCTACCACAAGGAGTTTCTTCTGAAGTAGCTGAAACTGTTGCTCTTTCAGAACATTCTGTAAGTGTTCCTCTCCAGGTTTGCAGACCGACGACACTTTGAATGTGACCAGCTCTTTGTTGATCCTCTCCAAATCCTAAATATGAAGTAAAAAGGTGCAACAGTTTGTGACACGGTGATTTAGAACTACTTCTGACTTCAAAGAAATTCAATTTACAAAGCAATAGGAGTATCGTCAGTGGTACAAGAATGATTCAGTGCTTTTTTATACCTCTTTCAAGGCTTTAATCGTAGATTCTTGTTTTTCATTGATGGATGTGAGCTTTTTATTAGTTCGCATGGCCTCTTCAACTTAAAAAAAGGGCCAAATAATTCATGTTGAAAGAATGACAAATCAATTCAATGATGCAAAGAAGAGTTTTTTAAGATCGAATCTGTCCAGAGTGAATGAAGAAAAATGATGAATACCAGACTAAATGTTTTCCAGCTCTTTTAAATTAGCTGGAGAAAATACTAGTTTAAAGGCAAAAGATAATCAGGTTTACACCCCGGACTCAACATTTATTCATTTCTTTTCCATTAAGACAATGTTTGTCAGTTATGACAGTCATACCATTCTGTTCGAGTTTGTCATGGGCCTGTTTGACCATGGCACACAGTCTGGAGATGGCGGCAAAACGCCTCTCCACTTCTCCCAGCTGGTTCTGCCTTTCGTTTGTGTCTGCAGCTGCAACTTTTGCTCCTGAAAAGTTTAAAAACTCATTGTCCTCCCTTCTAAGAGGAATATCCTCATTCGGCTGTACAAATAATAACAGTTCTTCTTCTCGGCAAGGGCAGACCGTGAATATATACTGCATCAGAGAGTTTGAAGACCTTTGTTTAACATCTCGGCTGAGTGCTCCTTTCTGCTAGATAAGGAGTCAACTTCCAAACATGCCTGAGGGTTTTTTTTTTTGTGAAGCGCAGCCCGTTACTGTTTGATTGTCTGTATCAAACTGATTCCCCTCCATTGAAAGGTTAAACAGAGCGAGGCTCTGATATAAAATATTTTAATAGTGGTATTTTCACGTGTCACGCCCTCCCTATCCGTTACTCCTGATGATTCGCTCTCCCTCTCAGCTCCTCCTCTTTAATTCTTCCCACTCCCACTTGCCTCCATCAACAATTCATATAATTGGAAATCCTTACCAGCTCGCCTAATTTCTTCTCCGAACTGTATTTGAGCAACTGTAAGACAGTAGTAAAAGAAGAAGAAAGTGATTTTAGTGAGCTTTTTTTTCTCTGAAAGAGCACCGAGTGACCTTTCTTACAATTGCAAAACAAACGAATAGATTTAGTGCTGTGGATTCAGGATAATTGCCGAAAATGCTTAAACTGAAGTAGAAATAATTTAACTGTCATTTTATTGTTATTATTTAAGTGCAATATTAAATCACATTAGTAAAAATGCAAACAAAAATAAGAACAACATGTGGAATTATCATTCTATTAATTACTATTAGTAGTATTATTTTGCTTTTTACTTCAGACTATTTTATTGATCTTGCATAATTCTATAAATGAAATGTCAAGACCAGGTGTTCAAGAATACATCACAATAATTGCTGGGTTTAGATATGAATCAAATTGCCTAAATTGCATTATCAAATAAAAGGGTAACAAGGGCCTTTATTGGCCAATGGTACGGTTGAACCGAGGGTTTGATGAACCGTAGGAGAAACCATTCATCACCCATGCGACATCATTTATCTGACAACACCAAATAGACCTACACAGACCCCCACTCAAAGGTCAGCGATGAGATGGATTTTCCCACTGTTTTATGTAGATGTCCCTAAGGCAAGAGAGAGGTATGAAAGATCTCGTCATGTAAAGGTGCGTGTTGTTATTGTATTGATTTTGTGTACCTGCAGAATTCTTCTTTGAGGCTGAGGATCTCTTTCTCTTTCAGCTCAGCAGCCAGCTGGTTTTTACCCTTTAAGAGATCATTAATATTTAGTCAAGTGATTAATTAATTATTCATATTAATTAATGATTAATTAATATTTGAATGAAATATATTTTTTTATAAAGTTACTGTTAAATAAGAAAGATATTAGATATAAAGATATGAACCAATGCACAACAGATTCAAATGGAAATATAAAGTGACCAACCTTTTCTCCCTCAATTTTTCGGATTTGGGCCTGAAACTTTAAATTAGACAAAAAAAAAAAATGAATATGTTCATATATTTTTGGGAACATACTCCTTACCCTTATTAATTATTTAAATAAATCATTTTTATTGAAATAAAGTCTTACACACATAGGTTGAGTGGTGTCACAATTGACTTTCGTTTGACATTCTAGAAATCTGACTTTGTAAAGACTCCTGAAAAAGAATAAACTGTTAATATAGACATAAGCTTTAGACATATAAATGGTATTCTATAATTGCTCAGTTATTCCTAACAAACCTTTTGCCATTCCAACTCCTGCTTATCCAGCACTAGTGCCCAAAATGTACATAAAACACAAATGTTTTCATAATCAATAATTAATATCATAATAGGAAAGGACCATATGGAATTAAATGATTTTATGCAGGCATCTGAACAGCAAAGAGCAGAATTTCACATAAAGCCATTATTGTTCTGTTTTCATCTAGGACTGCAGGTTTAAGTCAGTGGTTTGCTACGTTGTGGTTTTTATTTGCATGTAGGAGTGTATTTATATTTTCCTAATAAAGTGTGCTACTTGCAAAGCTGTTAACATTTCATGGAAGGACAATAAATTGAATAAATGGGGTCTGCAGGTAAAAAAAAGTGGTTTCATGTGAATCTTTCAGGACAGAAACTGATTGCATATGGGATTAGATGGAATCTAATAAAACAAAGGACACATAAAATGTGTTGAAATGAAAAAACAGCATGCAAAATATCACTCTAGATAGTGTCATGCATCAGTTCAATGCATTTTCAGCAGCTGCACGTTCAAATTTCCTGTATCTGGCAAAACAACTGACAACATCGCAAGCTGATACAGTCATTTTAATGGAACACACTCTTAAAAGAACATAAGAAGTGACGGCATTCAGCTGAGCGCGTTTGTCTGGCAGGAAATCCTCCATCTTAACCCCGGCCCTATAAACCAGAGAACTACAAAGTGTTAGTTTAATGGCAAGCCTGAGGATCACATTGATTTAATGCCTTTGTTCCTCACCAGCATCATAATATAACAATAAAACGAGAGATACAATTGTTTATTTTTGCTCGTACAACCTTTAAACATGTCCAGTGTGGGGTTTTAAGTGCTTTGCTCGAGGGTACCAGTCGTGCAAGCAAATATGTGAATTTGTCAGGTCCTGCTGCATGACTCCATTCTAATGTAAGTGCAACTTCTGCTGGCTTATATCCAGATGGACAGAAAGTGCTGCTCGCTATTCCATCTTCTGAACACTCATGACACTCCTCCCACAAAATTACATTCCTCAGTTCCTCATGAGCAGGCCAAATAGAGCCATGATGCCATTCGGTTACTAATAGACTGACATCCCTAATATATCGAGATGTCATTTAGCAGCCTTTTAGGGGGCTGATATTTGTCTGAGATTGCTCAAGCTCAATTTACAGTATATGTGCACACATCGTAGGGGAAGACTAATATGAAGATTTCTCACAATTCAAATGTTTTTTTGTTTTTTTTTTAAATCCTGATAACTAAATATCTATGTAAATAAACAAAGAAAAAATGAATGAACAAAAATAAGATAAATAGGTAAAAAATATAATAAACATATTTTAAAAAGTGAAAACAAACAAACATGCAGGAGTTATTTCTACCTGGTCTGAGGCTTAAAATACTTTCTTTACTGTAACCTGATGTAAATAGGTTAATTCAGTCATTTTAAATAATATTTCAAATATATTATTTTACTGATTTCTGTCATAGTTATCACACTATTTAAATATTCATATTTTTGCTAATTGCGAAAAAATACAAATATATTTATTAATATTTTACAGATAAATAGAGAAATACTAACTACCTAATTAAATAAATAAATATATAAATTAATTCTAAGAAGATAAACAAGTAAAATAATATTATAAAAATAAAAATATGACAACACAAACAAACAAACATGCAGGAGTTATTTCTACCTGAATTGACGTTTAAAATAGTTTCCTTACTGTAACCTAATGTATTTAGGTTAATTCAGTCATTTCTGTCATAGTTCTTGCGTTGTTTCATTAAATAAATAAATACAGGATGGAAAGTGGTGGGGGCAAAGGAAAGGTGACTCTGAGGTTTTGTTATTTTTGTCTTTATCTTATTTCGATCAGCTAATCAATTAAAATAATCATCTTTAATTGCTGAGCCTGGCAGGGCACTAATGGTAATGCAACAACAAACACCTTAAAAACAACAACAATGCAATAAACATCATTGTTGCCACCAGTCTTACATCTCTTGCTTTGTTTTCTCAGGTTTCATAATTTTTTACACATTATCTATCATCAGAAAGGCTAAAAGTAAAAGTAAGACCCCATACCTTGTGAATATGCAACTCTTCAACTGCCTCCAGGAGACTTGTTTTAAATTCCAGTACTTGCAGTGAGATGGTACGCCCATCATTCTCTACAACAATGTTTGGGGTCTTCGGTTGGGGTCTTTATCTTCCATCTACAGACAAAACAGCAAGAGTGTGTGTAAATCTTGCAGTTTCATTTGTATATAATTTAAAACGCATCATTCTGCTTTGGAATATTTCCATAATACCAAGGAGAAAAGCTCTGTTGCAGGGTCCACACTCGACTCCATGGTACTTGGGGTGGGGGGGAGAAAAACATTAAATCAGACAATCTAAACAGAGCCTACAGATCAAATCTGGTGTTTCTGCTTTATAAAACAGCAGCAATATGATTAAATACATCAATGTTTAATAAATAATTTAACTAATAGAAATTATTCAAATAAACCTGCAAAAATACTATATTTTAGCCCAATTGTAGGCTGTTTGTGGTTGCGAACCACCATATTTTTCCTTTTAATTTTAGTAATTTTAATTTTTCCTGTGTTTTTATCATTTTTATTCATTTTTTAATGTTTTTAATATTTTTTATTTCAGGTTTAGTTATTACTATGAAAAGTTTCTCGCAAAAAAAAAAAATCTTGCAATTCACAGCTAACATCTCACAATTCTGTTTACCAACAGAATTGCAAGGAAAAAAAAGTCACAATTGTGAGACAAACGTATAGAATTGCAAGAGAAAACGTCTGAATTGTGAGATAAAAATAAGCCGCAATTACCTTTTATGTTTTGTTTTTTTAATCTTGTGGCAGAAACAGTCTTCTATATATTTCAGTACAGTTAAACTAAATGGAAATAAAAATAAATGTTGCCTTGGCAACTATCTGGAAAAAATTGTTTAAGTTTTTATATATTTTTCATTACAATTAACAGTTATTTTATTTCAAGTAATTACATAAAATAATGATGAAAAATGTTTTTTATGGATTTAGTTTTAGTTAACTATAATAACCCTGGTTGATGCACATATATCAGCTCTAAACTCATCCAATCAGAATTTAGAGCTGGAACTATTGGTTTTATCATACTGCATATGACAAAAACAATGCTACTACATAAATTTCACCTCATAAGAATATATAAACCACTGCTATAGACAAAGTTCAAGTTGTTGCATCAGAAAAAAGCCTTTTAAATCCCATCTCAAACCTATCAAGGTGAAAATGGCAGCATGGTAAAAGTGTAGGCTAATAGGGGTCAGAATCATAACACCGGATGGACAGATGGCTCTGTCATTCAGAAGGAATTATATAACATATCTAATTTGACCTGTGCTTGGTCCGCTGTATCCCCATCATCATGTCTGACTTGGAAAGTGGGAGGTCTTCATCCAGCCTGGTGTTTTAATAGAAGAAAGGCTTTCGTCCATTTAGCCGCTGCTGATATATCAATCATGAACAGGAATTAAATGATCCCGTTAGAATTTGCTACTATCACAAATGACCTGAAGGGCCAATGTCTTTATTCGCTTTCCTCCGCTGATTCACCTCAGCAGATATTAAACAACTTCATAAGCCATAAAAGGCAAAATTAAAAGGACACCATCTATAAAATGGGATAATTCCGTGCCTGCGGTATGATGTCCATATTACTGTCATAGCTGCTGATCTATAAATGTGAATGGCAGTGGTTGAGACTTCAGGTGAAATCCTGCTGAAAGTTAGTGTAGCGATCAGATTTAACCGTTGACCTCAGCTGATCAAACATTTGCTTACAGGGTGAAATCTGGATTTATTGTCTGAGAAGACTTTTAACCCCAAAATAAACATTACAATAAACACTGTTCTGAGATATTAAGTAGGCTAATTCATGGTAAACGAAGATGGTTTTGGCCATAATATTATAGCCACTACCCTAAATTGAAGTAAATTAAAGCACCTTTTCGTAATGTTTTAAGTCATTTTATTATTAGTAATATTTTTAAATACAGGTCAGGTGGCATAAGCCATTATAGTTACTATGGTAAATTATTGTTATTGGCTGAATAGGCTATAAACATGTTTATCACTCAGGACTTACTCACTCTAATAACTTTGGAAGATAAAAAATAGCACATTTTCGAAATGCTAAATAGCATATTTATGTACTTTACAAATGTTTTAGTAAGATAAGCAAATGTAGCTAGCTGCTAAACTATCACAACATTTATTTATTAGTTATTTTTCCTCATAAGTGACTAAACAGCTTAAGACAAGTGCTGAAAATAGTTTAATGATTGTATAATAAGCATAAATGTAACTTATTACATTAATACTTAAAATAAACCCTGGGGATTTTATTTATTTATTTATTATTTTTTTGCCGTACTGACTGGAGTTGGTGTGGTTAAGAATTCAGTCAAGGATGGCTACGGTTATGCTATATCTTGAGTAATAAATTCTGGGATTTCTGTGAACTTTCCTCTCAAACATCATCACAAATGATGTTTAAAAGCAAATAGTGATCTACTATTTTTCCGAGCTAGTATTTTAAATCATGTCACTCACTCTGTAAACCCCACTCGCCCTACCTGTGTCATCCATTCAGGCGCTAAGAAACGTTGCCTTTGCTGCCACCTAGTGTCCTTTATGTACCGTGGTTTTATACATAACTTTGTATACATAACCACATATTTTTACACGTTTATGACATACCTGGCATAATAATTAAAAAGCTAAATATTTAGGAAACATTACAGGGTCGACGGAAACTAAAATGATCTTTTATGTAACCTAACTAGACATTAGACCGCCTATTTTGCTTTAATTTTATACATAATTATATACGTAAATTTAATCATAACTGTGATTTATTGCCTTTGATGATAAAATAATTTAGAATTTTGAATATTAACCATTTTATACAACCCTCCCTGTCCCTAGGGGGTGACTCAAGTGTCATTCTCTTGGGAAATGTAGTTCCGTGCTTCAAAACACCGCTTTGGCCCCATTGAAAACCACATGTAAGAAAACTACAAAGAAGCGTTCTGAACCGTACTTCCGTTGTGCATCAGGTTTGTATTGATTCATTCAGAGCAAAACGTCCAGGCTGCGATTTTGATTATATGTTGCGAATTGCAGCTGCATTAAAATAAAGTTTAGACGTGCGGTCGGTGCTTTAACTAATCCAGGTAAGCTGTAAAAGAGTCTAATGTAATTTTTATTATTTTGGCTGAATGAATGACGGATGTTAGAGTACAGACAGACACGACGGAGCATCAGGCTCTCAGATTTTAGTAACGAGATCAGGGTGGTTGTTTATGTCGCAACACAGTAAACCAGATCAGTGTAGATAGCGAGTTTATGGAAATAAAAATATATTTGAATGTGACTAGTAGAGGGATGAGTCAACTAGAGAGCAATTGTTTATTGTCTTTTAAAAGGCATTCTAGTCTTTTCCTTCTTTTTTAAAAATAAAAACAAAACAACTTCACACACAGCTTGCTGTCACACCGTTGGCAGAACATTTTCAGTGTTGGCACTGGATAGAGCTGCTGATGCTGTAGTCTATGGAAAGATTACTTTAATTTCTCGGCTTCTTTGTTTTCAGCAGAAGATGCCCAAGGAATCTGACAAGTCCTCCAAGGAGGAGCAGAGCAAGATTGACAGAAGAGGATCAGAAGAAATACTCCCAGTCCTCACAGACTCACCCCTCAGTGTAAGGAGAGAATTGATTATTTCACTTAAGAAATATATGGCCGTTTTAACTCTTAACAGTGTTAATGTTGCATTCAAACACTTACAGCCAGTCCACCCAGATTTGTGTCAGTGGAAGAGCTAATGGAGACAGCCAAAGGAGTCACTAATATGGCACTGGCCCATGAGATAGTGTTGAACAGTGCTTTTCAAGTCAAGCCTTATGAGCCAGGAGAGGGAAGGTAATAGACATTATAAATGTAATCTGAGACTGTCATAATGTTATTCATTAGTCTAAACATATATTTGAAATGTTAATGTGCCAGTTTAAAACTCTGATTATAATGTATTGCAATGCAGTGGTTCTAAAGGGATGCATATTGTGGTCAAACATTCACATTGTTTGTTTTTTTGCTCTACATTTTAAATGGTTTGATTTGAGAATGTTTTGCAATGATTTAACATATCTTTCCTGTGTGTACTCAGTTTGGAGAAACAGGTAAAAGAAATAATGCACAAAGCATTTTGGGATTGCCTTGAGTCACAACTGAATGATGACCCACCATCGTACAGCCATGCTATCACACTGGTTGGTGAAATTAAAGAGGTAAGAAAAGAATCCAGACCTACTCATGATCATATTTTGATATTAATTAAATTTGTTATTCTGTATAAATATATATTATAATATATATTCTGTGTACACACACACACACACACATTTATATAGAATTAAAATGACAAATGACATTAAAACAAAGATAATAATGTTATTATTAAATATTATAGTATTTTATATATGGGTATAGTTAGTATGCTAATTTTAAATACATACTTACATACTGTACATATGAATATATTTAATTATTTCTTAACATATTTGTTCACATTAAGCAAACTAAAAATATTTGAAGGTGTTCATTAGTTCTCTGTCCCCCTGTTTTTCCAGACGCTGCTGTCTTTTCTGTTGCCAGGACAGAGCCGATTGAGAGGGCAAATTGAAGAGGCTCTGGATCTCTCATTGATTCATCAGGAGGCTGAGAACAGAGCTCTAGACATCAATAAAGTAGCCAAGTTCATAATTGACATGATGGGCACCTTTTGCGCACCCTGTCGTGATGAAGACATCAAACAGCTGCGTGAAATCACTGACATTGTGCCCCTTTTTAAGTAAGTCACTTAAACAGTTCAAGGTGAAGGTCACATGACTCCAACTCCAAATAAAATCATGTTTATTTGCAGGTCTATATTTGCAGTGCTGGACAAAATGAAAATCGATATGGCCAACTTTGCTGTGAGCAGCCTGCGACCTCACCTCTTACAGCAGTCGGTAGAATATGAGCGGAAGAAATTTCAGGACTTCCTAGAGAAACAACCCAGTAAGGAAAATCAATTACTTGTATAGTAATTATACCAAATCAATAAATGTTATGTTATGCAGGCATTAAAAAATGTGGATAAGCTTCATGTACTTTAGTAAATGCTGATCTCTTTAATTCAGTTATGTATTCATGTTTGCAGATGCTTTGGATTTCACACAGAAATGGCTCCAAGACACAGCAGATTATGTAACCGGTGGAGGAACGGAGGGTGGAGCAACATGCACACCAAATTCTGCTCAACTTGCTCTACACAATCATGCCTATTTACGCCTGTTAAAGTGGGACCATGATGCTGAGTCTTTTCCAGAGGTAACTTATTAGTTACTTATAACTTACTTATATCTATTAATTTATTTTAAAAAAATTGTAAATGCAATAATGCAGCTCTTTTATGACAAGCATGTTTCTAATTTCTGAATTAAAATATTTTTTTTGTGGAAAAAATCATTTAGATATTTTTTGACAGGCATATGTCCAAACTATCTTGATACAACTGTCCTGATATCATAATGAAGAATTTTAACAATTAATGATATATTTTTTTTGTGACAGTAAAGGTATTTATAATGTTACAAAAGACAAAATTTCTATTTCAAATAAATGCAGTTCTTTTGAACTTCATATGCATCACAAAATCCTGGAAAAATGTTCATGGATCATGCCAAATTGATTTAAGTAATACATTTACATATACAGTATACAGATACACAACACATCAGGCAAAACATTATGACCACTGACAGGTGAAGTGAATTACACTGATTATCTCCTCATCACGGCACCTGTTAGTAGGTGGAATATATTAGGCAGCAAGTGAACATTTTGTCCTCAAATTTGATGTGTTAGAAGCAGGAAAAATGGGCAAGCGTAAGGATTTGAGCGAGTTTGACAAGGGCCAAATTATGATTGCTAGAAGACTGGGTCAGAGCATCTCCAAAACTGCAGCTCTTGTGGGGTGTTCCCAGTCTACAGTGGTTAGTATCTATCAAAAGTGGTCCAAGGAAGGAACAGTGGTGAACCGGCGACAGGGTCAAGGGCGGCCAATGCTCATTGATGCACATGGGGGGCGAAGGCTGCCCCGTGTGGTCCGATCCAACAGACGAGCTACTGTAGCTCAGATTGCTCAAGAAGTTGATGCTGGTTCTGATGGAAAGGTGTCAGAATACACAGTGCATTGCAGCTTGTTGCGTATGGGGCTGCATAGCCGCAGACCAGTCAGGGTGCCCATGCTGACCCCTGTCCACCGCCGAAAGCGCCAACAGTGGGCATGTGAGCATCAGAACTGGACCACGGAGCAATGGAAGAGGGTGG